TTTTCATTCAGTTAAAGCTTTCTTTTTTCTTTTTTAAATTTTTACTTATTTTATGTGTATGGGTGTTTGGCCTACATGTGTGTAACTGCACCCGGGTCGTGCAATACCTGCAGAGAGGCCAGAGGAGTGCGTTACATCCCTTGGACCTGGAGTTATAAATGATTGTTATCAGCCATGTGGGTGCTGGGAGTTGAATCCTGGTCTTCTGTAAGAGCAGCCAGTGCTCTTAATAAGTGAGCCATCTCTCCAGCTCACTGATTTGGTATATTTTTAGACAAGGTTTCCCTGTAGCCCTAGCTAGCCTGGAATGCTCTATGTAGACCAGGCTGGCCTCAGTCTCACAGGGATCTGCCTACCTATGCCTCCCAAGTGCTGTGATTAAAGGTGCTTGCTACCATGCATGGCTACTTTTTTTTTTTTAATATTGTGTGTTTGTGTGTGTGTTCGCACATGTCTGCCCATGGGTGTGTACACATGAGTACAGGTGCCTTCGGCAGAGGTGGCCAATAGAAATCATCAGACCCTTGGAACTGGAGTTACAGGCAGTTGTGAGGTGATGTGGTGCTGGGAACTGAATCCTGTCCTCCGGAAGAACAGCAAGAGCTCTTAATCACTGACCATCTCTCCAGCTATATCTCCCATTTTAATGAAGTAAGTGTAAATCTAAAATGAAGCATGAACTTGTGCTCATTGCTCTATAGACCCAAACAAATCCTCACACAAGCATGAGCAGAAAACTTAAAATCAAATTTGAAAATTCAAATCAACATTAAATCAAAGCATAAATTTTATTATTTGTGTTTAATTGTAGCAGAGCAATGTTTCAAATTGCCTTTTTTCATGTATCGTTATTTATTTGTTTATTTATTGCCTTTTTGAGACAGGGTCTCCCTGTAGCTTGAGCTGTCCTGGAACTCACTATGTAGACCAGGCTGGCCTTGAGCTCACAGAGATCCGCCTGCCTCTGCCTCCCAAGTGCTGGGACTATAGGCGTGCGCCACCATGCCCGGCTAGTTATTTATTTTTAAAACTAACATACAAAGTATTTGATGTCATTATGACATTTTGTGTCAATACAAAAGCATAACTCTTACTTCAAAGAGGATACAAAATATTCTGGAGCCAAATATAAGTGACCATGGCTTGGGAACACAGATTCAGGTTACCCCAAATTCCATGCTCCAATGTGGTAACTGTTTCACTAGGTTTTATAGTAACAGAACAAAGAAAAGTTATAAATCAAGACACTTTTTAAATACATGGAACACAGTAAGTAGTCAGACACAGCAAAAGAGAAGCCTCAGCTATAGGCCTCAGATGCTATCTGATGACATTTGTAGCCTCATAATGGGGGGGAGACTGTTTCTTCTGTTAAGTTAATAACTGTTATTCATCATAAGAATCTTAATTCAGAAACAGAGATGGGAAGGAGTAACTATTTGTAGGCTAGAAATGTCCCCAGATAATTTGTGAATAGATTTTAGATCTGCAATGTTCCAAACTCTCCACAGTCACTGAAGTGTTGTTAATCAGCTGCAGGACGTTCAGTTCAAGATGCAGGAGTTATTTCTGGGAACTTTCTTTCACATTGTTTTAATAAATTCTCCTCCCCTTTCATCTCCTCTGCCCCCTCTTTTTTCTTGTGTTGGAGCTGGGATTGAACCCAGGGCTATGTGAATATCACTGAGCCTTTTCCAGTCCCTTTTTACTCTCTCTCTCTCTCTCTCTCTCTGGTCTCCCTGTCTCCCCAACTAGCTGGACTCACTATGTAACAGACCAGGTTGGCCTCCATCTAACAGAAATCTGCTGGCTTCTGGCTTCTGTCTCTGGAGTGCTGGGATTAAAGGTGAGTGCCACCATGTTCGGATCTCTTCATTATTTATTTATACATTGAGAGATACATAGAACTCGTGTGTCAAGATGCAAGTATGGTGATCAGCAGACAATTTTTCTGGGATCTGTTCTTGCCTTCCATCTTGTTTTGAGGCAGGGCCCCTCTCTCTCTTAAAAGATTTATTTTATTTTTATTTATGTGTATGTGTTTGTGTCTGTGTGTATGTGGCCCATGTATGCAGGTGCTTGGGGAGGACAGAAGAGTATGTTGGATCCTCTGGTATGGAATCATGTGTGGTTGAGTCACCTAGTGTGAGTGCTGGGAACTCTGGCCCTGAGTTTCCTAAGCAGGAAGTGCTTAACCATTTAACCATCTCCCCAGCCCAAGGCAAGGCCGGTCTCTCTTGTTTCTGCTGCTGTGCTGCACACTGTAGGACAGCTAGCACATGACCTTCCAGTCAGTGTTACTGTCTCTAGCTCCCATCTCTTTGCAGGAGTAGTGAGAGTAGATTCTCCAAGGTCAGTTCTGGGAATGGAACTCAGGTTGTCAGGCTTAAGTGTCAAATACCTTCTAGTGCTGAGCCATCTCCCTGACTCTTGATTTTTTAATTACAAAGGGCCATCATTTGAGCTACCAGCATATTCCATATTATTACAGCAGAAATGAAAACTTATTAAGGAAAAACCATTTCCCTCAGATGAAGAGAATGGAATCTCTGGCCTAGGTTTTAGACTTAGGGCAATGTGAGTGCTGGGGTTACAGGTGTGTACTATCACATCCAGATCTCAAAAGTTACTCACACAGGGTGTAGTGATACATACCTGTAATCCTAGCACTTAGGAGGTTGAGGCAGGAGGAACAGGAGTTCAAGACCAGCCTCAGCTACATAACATGTTCAAAGCCAGCCAAGGCCACATAAGACACCAAGTTGCAAATAAACAAACAAAAAGAAACCAAAACATTTCTCATCTAGGCTAATGGGCAGAACAATGCATTCTCAAAGGCTATAATGGGAAATGGGAAATGGTGCACTTGGCATTACACGCTCACAGTTTTTACTGTGGCTGCTAATAAGCTCCCTGCAAGTATGTTCACAAGACAATAATGGTGCGATTGATCTCCAGCAAAGGGCTTATTGTGCTGGCTGCCATGGCCACTCCTCATTCCAGAGTTGCTGTGTGAGGCTGTCGGAAGGAATCCATTCTCCCATTGCTCTACTCTCCCCCACCCACCAGAAAACTAGGTTTTCCCCAAGTTCTGTGACATCACCTGATGGGTGGGTGGGCTCTGTGGGCCCTTCAAGAATTCAAGTAGACTGGGTGTGGTGGTCCACACCTTCAATCCCAGCATCCAGGAAGTAGAGTTAAAATCCAGCCTTGTTTACATAGAGAGTTCCAGGCCAACCAGAGCTGCATGTGAAACCTTGCCTCCAAAAAAGATTAACCATCACAAGTACCCTCCCCCCTATTCCTCCGTACACCTGCATACATGGGCACACACACACAGACACAAACACATACACATAAAAATAAATCTTTTAAGAGAGAGAGGGGCCCTGCCTCAAAACAAGATGGAAGGCAAGAACAGATCCCAGAAAAATTGTCTGCTGATCACCATACTTGCATCTTGACACACGAGTTCTATGTATCTCTCAATGTATAAATAAATAATGAAGAGATCCGAACATGGTGGCACTCACCTTTAATCCCAGCACTCCAGAGACAGAAGCCAGAAGCCAGCAGATTTCTGTTAGATGGAGGCCAACCTGGTCTGTTACATAGTGAGTCCAGCTAGTTGGGGAGACAGGGAGACCAGAGAGAGAGAGAGAGAGAGAAAGTAAAAAGGGAGTGGAAAAGGCTCAGTGGTATTCACACAGCCCTGGGTTCAATCCCAGCTCCACCACAAGAAAAAAGAGGGGGCAGAGGAGATGAAAGGGGAGGAGAATTTATTAAAACAATGTGAAAGAAAGTTCCCAGAAATAACTCCTGCATCTTGAACTGAACGTCCTGCAGTTGATTAACAACACTTCAGTGACTGTGGAGAGTTTGGAACAGGATCCTTTCACCCCTAACAAGCTAATTTCAGAGAATTTTCATGCATATCTCCCTTGTAACCTAAGTTGGTTCCCTGTCCAAGTCAATGTTTGAAAAGGGAGACAAAGCATCAGCCAGTGTCACGCATCACATGCATGCTGTGTGCCATCTTCATGATGTCAACTTAATAGCTCTGTTATTTAAAGAGCTAATTTCTCTCCCCCCCCCCCCCCTTTCGACATGATCTCCCGGTAGCCCTGTAGCTCCAGCTGGCCTGGAATTTGCTATGTAGACTAGGCTGGCCTGGGGATCTGCTTGCCTCTGCCTCCTAAGTGCTGGAATTAAAGGTGTGCATCACAGGACTAGAAAGAAGCTAATTTCTTGGTCTATGAAAAGGATGTTCAAAAGGGAATATCCTAGCAAAAGCAAATTTTCACTTTTCCTTCGGTAAAGTAGAACGATCTGAACCCAAGGGTGGGGGCAAACCAAATAAGGACAGATGGATGTGCCTGCTGGGCGGAAAGGCATAGCCTCTGAAACCATTATTTGGCGTTCCTTTCTAGATAATTCTAGGAGAGGATGCCAGTGACTGTCAGAGGACACCATGGGCTCAAAGACCACAGGCAGGCTCTGCACTAGGTACCCCAGAACCAGCTCTTCACCTCCAGAGCTCAGGACTTGCCGCCCCCGCGCATCTCCCCCCTCGTCCCCGCCCCCGCCGGGGCAGACGTCCTCCGCAGCCCTCTGCCCCTGGCCGTCTTTTTCTGTGTTCTCTCTTGCCTGGAAAACACAAGGTGGGGAAGACCTTCCAGTTTCCAGTCAGTCATCTGACAGTAAGCCAGCGTCCCTCAAGGCCGGTGCAGTGAAGGCGACCGTCCCTCACCCCATCCTCCAGGGATTCACCTCCCAGTTCCTTCTCTACCACCCCTACCACCACGTGCAGGCGGAGACCCAGTTGCCGTCACCGGGATTTTTTTTTTTTTTTTTTTTGCTGGTTTCAGGCTTTTTTCTGCCTGAGCGGAGATGAAACAAACACGACCCCTCCGGCAGCCAGGCGCACAGGCACTCGCTCACGCCGCCACCCCCTGGCTGCTGCGTCCTGGGCGGGGACCGGCTTGGCTCCATCCCCCGTCCGGTGCTCCTCTGGCCGCTGCAGGGAGGAGGCGGCGGTGGGGAGGGAGCGCACCCCGCCCGGCACGCCCGGCCCCCGCTCCCCGCGAGGCGCGGTCAGCCGGCACCCGCCCAGCGCCCGGGGTTCTGCGGATCAGGTGGGTCCTGCGGAGGGGAGGCGGCGTGCTGGGCGCTGGGAGGGCGGTTGCTACGGCCCTCCTTGCTCTGCTCGGTCCCTTGCTTTTGTTCTGGTCATTTCCTCTGTGTGCAGATCCTGAACCCCAGGCTCTGTCCCCATCCTGCTCCTGGTCGCTGCCTCTGTCCCGCCTTCCAGACTAGGTAGTGTCTTCAGGGCTGCGGGCCTGGGTTGCTCCCTTTCCTGGGCATCCTCAAGGGTAGGGCAGGGTATCGGCGGGGCCACTGAAAAAGAACCAGAGGCTAGAAGGGCAGGAGGCGAGCGTCCCTGGAGAGGGGTGGTTCTTCCTTAGGGCAAAATTGGAAGGAGATGCAGAATGGGGGAAGGAGGAAGAAAAGGAGAGAGGGAAAGGGGGAGGGAGGGG